GGCCATACACTATACAGTCTGATTGTACAGGTATTGTACAATCTCCTTTAGAGATAACAAAACTATGTAATCTATTCAATTAGTCTCAAAGCACACAGGCCATTGCACTACATAGTTGTTGGTAAATCTAAAGGATGTTGTAAAATCAGGCTGTATGGTGTATGGCCACCTTCAGAAGACAATGAGATTCTGCACCTCATCCCTGTGATTACCGACACTCACTGACAGATCATGGAAGAAGCAGGGAGGGTCTAGCTAGATCTGAATTAATTAGGACAGAAGAGTAGGGGAGAAATGAGGTACCAAATACTGAAGACAAACAAGTTGTAGTAGTGCTGAAATACAGCTAGATGTCAGTATATTCCATAGCATCATAACATACATATAATTGCAGTAAAATGCATTGTTCTTCTTGATCCCCCAAAGACAATCAGATACTCACTGGATCCAAAATCCACCACGTAAAAAGAGGAAAGTTATATTTTAGTGCAACGAGAAGCACATCCAGACTTGTTTTAAGCTATCTACAGTGTTGGCTAGAAAAATACTGTGTGGAAGAATTTTTCATATTTACAGCTCTTACTGTAAAGACACCTTTCTGTATGTAAACCTTCTTTATTACTAATATATTGGAATTGTATGATATGAAATGTAATGTTTGACTCATGGCAAGCCTGAGGTAGGTTTTCTAAAGCAAAGGTAGGTTTTCTAAAGCCAAACACTTTTTTTTGGTTTTTAATAGTATTAAGGGGTTAGAACATCTGGCAGTACTTTGTTGCTATTCATGTCCCTGCTAGGGAGATTCACTCTATGTAATTGTCCTGTCACCAATATCATCAGGATGAAAGGAAGGGAAAATTAAAAATTATGAGTTGTATAAGGAAGCTTGTTCTGATAATACTTGTCAGGTTCATTCACGCTAGCGGTTCTTTCTGAAGTGGGATCCACTTTTGGATCGCTCTTCAGAGAGCATTTCACAGGCAGTGAGGAGATGTTGTATCACCTCCTCACTGCCTGCTTTAACCCCTTGAAGTCTGCAGAGCAGCCCTATTCACGATCGGAGGGTTATGCACCACTAAATGCGACGGGGGTACATTTCCTGCTATAGCATGTGTAAACCCCAGCCACTGCCTCTGCAGCTAAAGGGGTAGTGATTGGGGGGCAGTAAAAGCCCAGCTCAACTGTAGGGTTTTCTACCCTCCAATTGCAAGTGTGAACAAGCCCCAAGATAACATTTACTTATGTAGCACTACCCCCTTAGGAGTTGCTGTAGTTTTGGGTCCCCCTATAGTCCCTGCACAGCCTGGCAACACGTATTTCTCACAGACTTGCATCCAGGAGTCAGTAATCCATCCTTGAGCTTGTTTGTTTGATGTTTTATTTCAACTTGGATGGGGTAGAGGGTATATGGGATGCCCAATGTAACTATTGAACTGAGGACAACTTTCTGGAACTATTTACAAGTCTCTGCTGCAACACAGTCTATTTTGGAGAGCTAGCCAGCATCTCCCGTAGTACCACCCCCAGACCCCAGACCCCGATAAACTCCTCTTCTCTACCCAGCTGTCTGGAGGTATCCCTGAGCAGGAGATACGGTGCCGGGCACTTTAAGAAATTAGGAAATCCAGCAGGTGGTGAATCTGGTTTCCCACTAGAGTGCTCCTTCCCCAATCTGGCCCAGGGGGTGCAGGTCTACTCACGCAGTCCTTCTCCTGTGCGGCTGATGGGTTAGTGGCTGCTACCAGGCCATCTAGCTGGGCCGCTCCTTCCTTGCTATACTGCTATACCTGTGGTCCTCGCTCTGGGGGCTGGTGAAGTTCTGAGTTTTTGTCTTTCCCTGCTCCATTGCCATGAGCTCCATGAGCTCCTCTTTCAATCTGGGCCCCATCCCAGGCTCTTGCCTTCAGCCTCATGTTCTCTATCTTCCACCCAAACTCTCCTGCAGCTGAGCAGGCTCAATCAAATTTTATAAGGGTTGTCTTGGCCCCTTGCCAAGCCTCTTGTTGGGGATTGGCCAGGCTCCCTCAAAAGTGCTGATCAGCCACTCCTAAAATCCACCCACAGCTTCTAGACCTTTCTCCAAAGTTCTACGGCAGGGGGAAATTCTGGAGGGCTGGTCTGCAGAGCCTCTCAGCTCTGACCAAAGTTTGACCCCTACTAGCTATCACACCCAGGCTGCTACTCAGCCTTCCAGGCTAACAATTGAGGTCTAGCTGAGGGTGCTACACCTAATTTTTTAAATTTATTCTCACTTCTGATGTTTTTACAGGACAGGAAGTGAAGGGAAATTGTTCAAAGAGACACATATGGCAAAAATACCCTGACAGGTTTTAACTAGTCATAGCTAAATTTAAAAACAAGTTTTGGCTTTAGATATACTTTAAAGCTGAATTACAGGTATGGCTTTTTTACATAGTGACATTGGTCCAGCTTGGTACAATGTAAGTACTATATAGTGTAGCCAGGTGCTTGGCTAAGAATGGGAGTGAGAGAAACACTGGCTGCAGCTGCTCTTTGTAGTTGCTTCCCTGTGGCACTGAACTGGTTAACAGCTATCTCACAGGAGGAGGGAGCTGCTGGGCAGGAAAAATTCAATAGGCTGATTCAGGCAGCACTGCACTGTGGGAACTACAGTTGCAAGAAAAAGTATGTGAACCCCTTGGGATTACGTGGAGTTTTTGCATGAATTGGGCATAAAATGTGCTCTGAACGTCATCTAAGTCACAACAATAGAAGAACACAGTCTGCTGAACATAATACTACACAAACATTAGATGTTGCCATGGTTTAATTGCACATAACATGTAAAAATTCACAGTGCAGGGAGGAAAAAGTATGTGAGGCCCTAGCTTAATGACTTCTCCCAGAGCTAATTGGAGCCAGGAGTGAGGCAACCTTGACTGCAATCAGTGTGATGATATTGGATGTGTTGCTGACAGCTGTCCTGCCCTTAAAAAACACACACCTATTTTGGATTTACTGGGTTCAAGAAGCACTGTCTGATGTGAACCATGCTTCGCAGAAAAGAGCTCTCAGAAGACCTACGATCAAGAATTGTTGACTTGCATGAAGCTGGAAAGGGTTACAAAAGTATCTCCAAAAGCCTTGTTGTTCATGTGTCCACGGTAAGACAGACTGTCTACAAATGGAGAAAGTTTAGCACTGTTGCTACTCTCCCTAGACGTGGTCGTCCTGTAAAAATGACTGCAAGAGCACAGTGCAGAATGCTGCATGAGGTAAAGAAGAATCCCAGAGTGTCAGCTAAAGACCTACAGAAATCTCTGGCACATGCTAACATTTTTGTTGACACATCTACAATAAGGAAAACATTAAACAAGAATGGAGTACATGGGAGGACACCACGGAGGAAGCCATTGCTGTCCAAAAAGAAGATTGCAGCACGTTTAAAGTTTGCAAAAGAGCACCTGGATGTTCCACAGCACTACTGGCAAAATGTACTGTGGACAGATGAAACCAAGATTGAGTTGTTTGGGAAGAACACACAATACTATGTGGAGAAAAAAAGGCACAGCACACCAACATCAAAACCTCATCCCCACTGTAAAACATGGCGGAGGGAGCATCATGGTTTGGGGCTGCTTTGCTGCCTCAGGGCCTGGACAGATTGTTGTCATTGATGGGAAAATGAATTTCAGAGTTTATCAAGACATTTTGCAGGAAAACGTACGACCATCTGTCCGCCAACTGAAGCTCCGCAGAGGATGGGTGATGCAACAGGACAATGACCCAAAGCATACAAGTAATTCAACAAAACAATGGCTGCAACAGCACAGAATACGCCTTCTGGAGTGGCCCAGTCAGAGTCCTGACCTCAACCCGATTGAAATGCTGTGGCATGACCTTAAGAGAGCGATTCACACACCAGACATCCCAAGAATATTGCTACACTGAAACAGTTTTGTGAAGAGGAGTGGTCCAAAATGACTCCAGATCGTTGTGCAGGTCTGATCTGCAACTACAGGAAACGTTTGGTTGAGGTTATTGCTGCCAAAGGAGGGTCAACCAGTTATTAAGTCCAAAGGTTCACATACTTTTTCCTCCCTGCACTGTGAATGTTTACATGTTATGTGCAATTAAACCATGGCAACATCTAATGTTTGTGTAGTATTATGTTCAGCAGACTGTGTTCTTCTATTGTTGTGACTTAGATGACGTTCAGAGCACATTTTATGCCCAATTCATGCAAAACTACAAGTAATCCCAAGGGGTTCACATACTTTTTCTTGCAACTGTATAGTCCAGAGGAGAGAGACTCTACTGTAATCAAGAGTTTTGGAACTACATTTCCTAGAGGGAGATTGTCAGGAGGAGGGGAAAGAGCTGTATTTTATATTAAGCTGTAGAGAACACAGCATCCTCTTGCCTTGAGGGAGACCATAGAATGCACATCGCAGTTTAGTGGGTCTCCAAACTATGGCTCTCCAGCTGTTGAAGTGCTACAAGTCCCATCATGCCTCTGGGAGTCTTGCCTGTGGCTGTCAGAGTCGTGTAAGGCCTCATGGGACTTGCGGTTTCCCAACACCTGGAGGGCCATAGTTTGGAGACCTCTTGCTGGACATCCTCCAGCCAGGAAATGAGGTAGACTCTGACTTGCTGCAGCTTCTAATGCATTCTGTGAGCAGCTCACAATGTGCAGTGAAATCAGAGTAAGCAATTTTAGTACAGAATAGGAAGGTTGGACTTCAGCTTTAAATCACATATTGGCTTCTTATGCTGTATGTCTCTCTCTCTGGGTTTCCAAGTTATTCAGCGTTATGGGGAATAGATTTTGACAGCCCAAATTTCTTCTATAGCACTGTAAGGAGGACCTGCAGTTAGACAGAACTGAAAGTATTTTACTGCCATAGTCCGTGAGGGCCAGTTCACACCAGAACCATACAGTTCACACCAGAACCACACAGTTCACACCAGAACCACACAGTTCACACCAAAACCAAACAGTTCACAGCAGAACCACATAGTTCAGACCAGAACCACACATTTCACACCAGAACCAAACAGTTCACAGCCAGGGGCGAATTGACAACTCATGGGGCCCCCAGGAAATAAGGGATCATGGGGCCCCTGTGTCCTTTCCCAAACTCAAAAACGCCTATGAAAAAGGTACCAGGGACATCTCATGGGGCCCCCTACTGACCCCGGGCCCTCGGGCCCTCGGGCAGTACCCGAGTTTACAAATGCTCAGTCCGCCCCTGTTCACAGCAGAACCACACAGTTCACACCAGAACCACACAGGAACACAGACTACGATCCTATGCGATTCCTGTGCATTCCCCTGCAGTGCGATTTGGCAGCTTATTTATTTGAACCATTTGAACTGGAATGCACAAAAAGTAGTGCATGCGCTACTTTTGAAAAATGCTCCATGGTTGTAAGGGACCGCCTGGCGGTACCACTAGCACTCCACTGATATAGGCGTCCCCAGCGCACGGAGTCTAAGTCCCAGGGTGCTTGTTCACCAGGGCCCTGATGGTGGGGATGGACTTGGAGCCCCCTGAGACCAGGTCGTGGCTACTGGGTGCGTCCGTCAGTGGTAGTGGTATGCGCCAAGGGCTCCCACGGGAAGAGTCTGATATGAGGAGGTCAGCAGACCCCACTGCACGGGATGGATGGATGGATGAGCAAGGTCAGACGGGCCGGGTCGGTAACAGAGAGGACGGCAAGGTACAAGGCAGCGGGCATAGAATAGTCGGGTCACACGCCAGGTCAGCAACAGCAGGTCAAATCCAATAGGGGGCATTCAGGAGAGAGGTCAGGCAAAGCAAGGGTCTGGGCAGGAGAAATACAGCAAGGTCAGGTACAATCCGGGTCAGCAACTTACAATACACAGGTTCACGGATACAGGATACAGGTAAGACCAGAAGGCACTCAATGACAGCTCAGGGTCGTTTAAATATCCCGCCCTGCGCTGCCATTGGTGCCCAGCGGGCGGCCGCGGCTTCTACTGCGCATGCGCGAACTCGAACGCCGCGGCCGGCCCGGACCCAGTGCTCGAGTCCCTGCACAGGGCGGCACACTGCGACCTCCGGATGCCAACCCGATCTCTCCACCACGGGTGATCGCGAAAGAACCTCCGGACAAGTCTAGGGTGCATGGACATTCTGGGCTGGTTCCCAGGAATTGTCCTCAGGGCCATAGCCCTTCCATTTGATTAGGAATTGGGCCTGGCCCCCCCTCCTTCGGCACTTCAGGATTGATTCCACCTCAAATTCCTCTTCACCCTCGACCGTTATGGCTTCCGGGGGTCTAGATTCTCGGTCAGGAAAGGCATCTAGGATTACTGGCTTCAGCAGGGACACATGGAAGACTGGGTGGATTTTGAGTGTGTCAGGAAAAACGAGTTCGTAGGCCGCTTCGTTGACCATCCGTTTAATGCAGAAGGGGCCTATAAACTTGGGTCCCAATTTCTTCGACGGACAAAGCATCTTTAAATTGGACGTCGCTAGCCAAACCTTCTCCCCAGGCCGCAACACAAGATCTCCCTCCGTTTCCTGTTGAATGCCTTCCTGTAGTCTTCCTGGGCCCGACTGATGGCCTCTTGAAGCTTCTTATTGTTCGTGGAGAGAAAAAAACGTGACTACGTCTTGCGATGCTGGTACTGGGCATTCCGGGACCAAATCCGGGAGGAAGACAGGGTGAAAACCATAGTTGGCAAAGAACGGGGACTGGCCCGTCGCCGAGTGACGGGCATTGTTGTATGCGAATTCCGCTAGGGGGGAGAAGTGGCATCCAGTCATCTTGAGTAAATGAAGTGTAGCATCTCAAGTATTGCTCCAGGGTCTGATTGGTCCTTTCGGTTTGACCGTTAGTTTGAGGGTGGAATGCAGAGGAAAGGGACAATTTGATGTCCAGGGCCTTGCACAGTGCCCTCCAAAATCTCGACGTGAACTGGACCCCTCGGTCTGAGACAATGTCTTCGGGGACCCCATGCAGCCTTACTACCTCACGAATGAAAACTCTCGCAGTCTCGGCTGCCGAGGGGGGTTTTCTTCAACGGGATGAAGTGGGCCATCTTGGACAAGCGGTCTACGACCACCAGGATTGCCGTGTGGTCTAGTGATGGCGGAAGCTCGACTATAAAGTCTAACGATATCTTTTGCCAAGGCCGTTCAGGAATCGGTAAGGGTCGCAGCAGACCCCAAACTTTGTTTCTGGAAGGCTTATTCTTTTGGCAGGTGATACAGGACCTTACATAGCCCTTACAATCTTTAGCCATGTCCGTCCACCAGAAGGAGCGTCGGAGAAGTTCCAGGGTCTTTTCTGGGCCAAAGTGCCCCGCCATCGGGTGGTCATGGCAATGGCCCAAGACCAGGGGTTCGGGCTTCCTCTCCGGCACCACAATCCGATCTTCCCTCCATAGGAGTCCCCCTTGTTCTGGAGGAGCCCTCCGGCTGGGGTAGAGACGGTTGTGGATGCCTCCATTATCTTGGAACGAAGGTCCGACTGAAGGACCAAGAAGTTTCCCGAGGACAAGATGGTGTCGGGTACTGGGGTCTCCTTGGCGTCCTCGTACATACGTGATAACGCATCTGGCTTAGTGTTCTTTGATCCAGGCCGGTACGTAATGTGGAAGTTGAATCTAGAAAAGAATAGTGCCCATCTTGCCTGTCGCGGGCATAGACGCTTGGCGGTTCTCAGATATTCTAGGTTTTTGTGATCAGTAAAAATTAAGATGGGGTGCACAGCACCTTCCAGCAGGTACCTCCATTCCTCTAATGCCGTTTTGATCGCCAGTAGCTCTCGATCACCGATATCATAATTCTTCTCTGCTGGGGTAAGCTTCCGTGAGAAGAAAGCTACAGGATGGAGCAATTCCTTGGTGCCCTTCCGCTGGGAGAGAAATGGAACCTACCGCATTCTCCGATGCATCCACTTCCAGGATGTAGGGCAGGGCGGCGTCTGGGTGACCCAAAATGGGTGCCGAGGTGAACAACTTCTTCAAGGCTTCAAAAGCTTCCTGAGCTTCAGGTGTCCATCTGAACCGGGTTCCCAGCTTGGTTAGCTGAGTAATGGGGGAGACAGACCCGAGAAGTTCTTGATGAACTTTCGGTAAAAATTTGCAAAACCAATAAATCGTTGGACGCCCTTCCTGTCCGTGGGTTCAGGCCAATCCAGTATTGCAGCGACTTTCTGGGGATCCATCGCGACCCACCCCGCGGTGGAGATGATCAGGCCCAAGAAAGTAAAGCTGGATTGTTCGAAACAACATTTCTCTGCCTTGGCGTACAACCATGCTGCCGTAATCGCCCCAATACCCTTGCTACATGTATTCTGTGTTCCCCCAAGGAAGGGGAGAAAATCAAAATGTCGTCTAGATAGACGATAACAAAGACGTCCAGGAAGTCCCTAAAAATATCATTCACAAAGGTTGAAACGTGGCCGGGGCATTACACAACCCGAACGGCATGACCAAGTATTCAAAATGGCCGAAGCGGGTGCGGAAGGCCGTCTTCCACTCGTCCCCCTCCCTTATGCGAACCAAGTTGTATGCTCCCCTCAAATCCAGCTTTGTAAAAACCACTGCTGTTTTTTAAACTTTGGAATAATTCTGGTACTAACGGCAGTGGGTAACGGTTCTTTATCGTGACCCTGTTCAACTCCCTGTAATCGATACACGGCCTCAAGGTTTTGTCCTTTTTTTCAACAAAGAAAATTCCCGCCCCCGCCGGTGAAGTGGAGGGGCGGATGAACCCCCTTCTGGAGGCTGTCCTCGATATATTCCTTCAGGGCTCCCAATTCGAGCTCCGAAAGGGGGAAGATTCGCCCAAAAGGAATTTCTGAAACCGGGTAACAGGTCAACGGGACAGTCATAAGGGCGGTGGGGGGGGTAGAGTATCAGCTCCCCGCTTGCTGAACACATCTAGAAACTCATGGTAGGCTGCCGGGATTACCTGTTTTAATTCAGCTTCCCCCTCAGAGCACAGGAGGATTTGGGGGACCCCCGGGCCCGAAGTGCGGCAGTATACCCGACAGTATAGAGAAGGGAACGAAATTACTCCGGTCTCCCAGTCAATTTGGGGGTTATGGGCCCGTAACCATGGGAGCCCCAAAATGACTGGGAAGAGGGGTGAGGCTATAGCATCCAGGAGGAGCAGTTCTGGTGCTGGCCGGCAATGACAGTGGCGATGGAGGGGGTTTCCTGTTCACCACCCCTGATTTTATCCGGGAACCGTCAGCCAAATAAATATTGAACCCCTTCTGTTTCAATTGGAGAGGAATACCCTGCTGGTGAGCAAAATTAATGTCCAGGAAGCAGCTGCATGCCCCCGAATCAACTATGGCCGATACTTCCACGGTCCTTTCCGGAAGCTGAAAGGAAAGGGGCACCACTAAGTATTGGGATGGACTAACATTGCCAATGGACAAGGAAGAAGAGGTGCACTTACTCAGTTTCTGCGGGCAGGATCGTACCATATGACCAGCTTCGCCACAGTAGAGGCACAGGTTCTGGGATCGTCTGCGCTGATGTTCCTCTGGAGATAGTTTAGGCCGCGCCAGGCCGAGTTGCATAGGTTCAGGGATATCTCCAGGTGGCCGGTTCTGGATGTTTGGCCTAGGTGCTTGACTGGCCCCTTGAAATGGCCCCCAGGGATTTCCATGACCCTGGCCGGACCTCTCAAACCTGCGTTCCCGCAGTCTACGGTCAATCTTAATAGTCAGTGCCAATTAAGTCCTCTAAAGTCTCAGGCACCTCCACCCGGGCGAGCTCATCTTTCAGGCCTTCTGATAGGCCTATACGGAACTGATGCAGGAGAGCAAACTCGTTCCAACGTGTGTCCCCATCCAGCGCCTAAATTCAGACGCGTACTCCTCCGCCGCTCGGCGGCCTTGCCGGAGCGTGTACAAAGTAGCTTCAGCAGAAGCTGCCCGCTGTGGGTCATCGTATAGGATGGCCATTGCGTCAAAAAAAAAAGTCAACCGAGCTAAGGTGAGGGTCATTTTTTCCCCGCAGTCGGTGGGCCCAGTCTTGGGGTTCACCCTGCAGGAGGGAGATGACGAACCCCACCTTCACGGATTCAGTCACAAAGGTTCGTGGTTGCAACTCAAAATAGAGGAGACAGGACTCACGGAATGACCTGAAGCGTGTGCGGTCCCCATGAAACCGTTCCGGTAGGGGTACTCGGGGTTCGGCCGCCGGGAGTGGGGCGGATGCCCCAGAAAACCGGTACAGGGGCTGCTACGGCCGGAGGTGCGGGGACCGCGGCCTGTGGGGCAGAAACGGATATAGTGCAGGTCTGGAAGTGATTCTCAATCTGCTGACATCTGTCCTGCAGGGCCGATACGGCCTGCGTCAAGTTAGACAGGTGCCTGCAGATCTCCTCAAGCGGCGAGGGCCCTCCTCTAGACTCAGTCATGGCCTTCTGGTACTGTAAGGGACCGCCTGGCGGTACCACTAGCACTCCACTGAATAGGCGTCCCCAGCGCACGGAGTCTAAGTCCCAGGGTGCTTGTTCACCAGGGCCCCTGATGGTGGGGATGGACTTGGAGCCCCCTGAGACCAGGTCGTGGCTACTGGGTGCGTCCGTCAGTGGTAGTGGTATGCGCCAAGGGCTCCCACGGGGAAGAGTCTGATATGAGGAGGTCAGCAGACCCCACTGCACGGGATGGATGGATGGATGAGCAAGGTCAGACGGGCCGGGTCGGTAGCAGAGAGGACGGCAAAGGTACAAGGCAGCGGGCATAGAATAGTCGGGTCACACGCCAGGTCAGCAACAGCAGGTCAAATCCAATAGGGGGCATTCAGGAGAGAGGTCAGGCAAAGCAAGGGTCTGGGCAAGAGAAATACAGGAAGGTCAGGTACAATCCGGGTCAGCAACTTACAATACACAGGTTCACGGATACAGGATACAGGTAAGACCAGAAGGCACTCAATGACAGCTCAGGGTCGTTTAAATATCCCGCCCTGCGCTGCCATTGGTGCCCAGCGGGCGGCCGCGGCTTCTACTGCGCATGCGCGAACTCGAACGCCGCGGCCGGCCCGGACCCAGTGCTCGAGTCCCTGCACAGGGCGGCACATTGCGCCTGCGCCGGGACCATCGCGGCAGGGATCGAGGGGATCCCTGACAATGGTACTGTGAGATGGGGAAACAGCTCTCATTGTTTGAACACTGCTTGTGTGGAAGTAAATTAATGTTTTGACTGACATTCTGCGGTTTAGCTACAAGATGTCACTGTTTTTCTAACACAGCCTCAGACTGCATAGATATTTGTATATTCATGAAGAGGTGGGGTTTTCACACAGAGTTGGAGAGAACAGGAAGGAGAGAGAGAGAAGCCATGTTTTGGAGCATGGTGAATAAGGGGCCCTGTGAGCTGGGAATCTGATGACATCCAGGTGTGAAAGCGTCCCTCCATAACGAGAGCTGCAACTAAGTGAAGCTGATGAGATTGATGCCAGGAAGCTGATGAGATTGCTGCAGGAATGCTGATGAGATTGCTGCCAGGAAGGCTTATGAGAGCAGAGGAACTAAGCAACATATATGGCGAGACCGCATGCTTGTTGGAGAGACATTTGTTCTGTTCAGAGTCACCAGCGGATTCAAAGCAGACCCGGGTCGGTAAGATCGTGCACGCACCTCATTTCAGTGTTGGCGCCTTGAGACTGAGTCCAGGCCTATAGTTAGTTAGTTAGAGTCTCTGTGTCAGGCCACAAGTGTTGTTACTGATCATTGGAAGGGCTCCACAGCTTAAATTGACATTTCACATTGGAGAGCTGATAAATCCTACAAACTCAAGCCAGACTGGCGTTTTGCTCAGAAGGAATACTCAGGCACGTGCTACAGGACCAGTTATGGGAGAGGGAATAGTGTAAATTTGTGTAAGATTGTAAGCTGTTGTGCTGCACCGCAGGCTAGCCCATACCGTACACCCATACACTGATTCCTGCTCTTTTAGGGTAATACCAGGTAAGGTGTGGCAGCTTAGTTGTGCCCGTCAGTAAGTAAATTACTACACCTTCTACCTTCATCCATCAGGAGGCGCCATGCTGTGCAGCACAAGGGTCTCAGCCTTTGGGCTGGGTGTATGTAAATTTATTGTATGTTTCCAGCATTTGTGGTTGTGTTTATTTGCCACATCTAAGTAAAATTCTGTTGTGGCAAAAGCTGGTGTTGGGGTTGCTTTCCTCGTTCGTGACTTCACTGTATCCTGGGGAGCCCACCCTACACGGCTTACAGTACTGCGGCCAAGTGATCTGATGCCTGCAAATACACTGCATTTGTGATCTAAATGGGCACAGCTGCTGTGTCCCAAAATAACATGCAGGTGCAGGTCCCTGAACTCACCCAGGAGTGTCAGGAAAAAACAGCCCTGCATGAGGCAAGCATGTCACTACCCCATGTGAACAGCTCCTTTTTTTGTTTTTGTATCAATATATTTTCTAGATAGCAAAAAAACCAAAAGAAAACAGTAACCGCATCCCTTGTTTCAGTAGTTGAGCCTGGGTTCATATTGATGCGGTGCGGAATTTGCAGCATTTTCTGTGCAAATTCCGCACCGCACATGCGAACTGCTGCGGTTGTGTATGTTAGGTGTGAATACCGATGCGATCCGATTCTAGTGTGAACCAAAAAAAGGGTCCTGCACATTTTTGGTGCGGGTGTGGTGTGATTGGAGCTATACAAAAATCACATGTGATTTGTAGAGGAATGAGGTGCGGTTCCTGCGTTTATCGCATGCGATATACCGAACTGCACAAGGGTGAACGCAGGCTTAATATAAAGTGACAATAAACAATCTCCTTATTCTCCAAAAATAATGCATACATATTCGCTACCTAAGTCCTCATGCACACGGGACGTTCTGGTAACGTTAGCTGTGTAACATTAAAAATGTGAGCTTTTCAGCTTTTTTTAGTATTTTTGCATTGTGTCTAGCGTCGTTTTGCCACGTTTAGCGGCATTTTCCCTTGTTTGGGTTTTTGGGAAAAAAACAAAATCCAAAAACACCGGTTTGCGCCGTTTTACAGCATTTTTCAGCATTAGAGCATTTTTACAGCTAAAAAACTCTAGAGACCCCACTAGTCCTGGGGTTTTTTCCAGCCAAAAAATGTTGATTCCAGTCTATGTGTGTATGGACACATAGGATAACATGCTGGGGGGTTTGCTGGCTGTAGAAAAAAATGTCAAAAGCCAAAAACAGCCGCTGTAAAAACGTCAAGTGTGCATGAGGACTTATGGCCCTGTAATCTATTGTTTATGAATTTGTTTCTTTGTGTTATTCTGCCTCCTTGTGAACTCCAGAACCTCTCCTTTTCCTGCTCATTTGCATTTGTTTGGAACAGTCAGGGGCGTATTTACCACAAGGCAAACAAGGCATTTGCCTAGGGTGGCGTTTTTTCAGGGGGGGGGCAGCGGCATTTTTCAGGGGGGCAGCGCCGCCTCCTGAAAGAAGGGATGGAAGAAGGGACACACGCAGCATGGGGACAGGGGCGGACTGACAACTCATGGGGTCCCTGGGCAATAGGGGATCATGGGGCCCCTGTGTCCTTGCCCAAATTCAAAAAAGCCTAGGTACCAGGGGCATCTCATGGGCCCCCTACTGACACCGGGACCTCAGGCAGTGCCCGAGTTTCCAAATGGTCAGTCCGCCCCTGCATGGGGACCAGGTGGGATCTGAGAGAGGCTGAGGGCTGCTTGATGGTGTATGCAGAGCCTGACTCTTGTTCCTGGGGATGTCTGGAGCTGTGAGTGTCTTCTCTCTCGACGGGGGGTGGGGGGGGGTGGCCAGTGTATGGCGGATGGTGGTAGTAGAAGGCTCTCTCGGGTGGGGGGGCTGTGGTGTTGTTGGTCAATGCCACGGTCTCTACGTGGGGGGGGAGTGTTGGTTGGTGTCAGGGTCTTTCCGTGTGTGGGGGGGGGGAGCCGATTTTTGTGTTGCCTAGGGCAGCACGAAACCTAAATACACCCCTGCAAACAGTACATATTATTAGTTGCAGTCATGCACACTGCTCTATGCACACTGCAAATCCCATAGTCCATCTCAGGAGTGAGCAAGAGAGGGTGGCTACGTTCCTACATACAGTGGGACCTGGAGAATGAACGTAGCCACCCTCTAACAGGGTGTCAGATCACAGCGGCCAAAACAAATTTGGAGATTTGAAGGAGTCTGAGAGCAATAGAATAGAAGGGACTTTTTTGAGCTGAGAATACACTTGAATAGAAATGTGTGTTATAAACCAGCGTATAGTGTCACTTTAATTCATGCGTGGTTTAAAATATTTATTATTAACGTAGGTTTTCAACACATTTATATTTTTTTAACCTAAATTTGTTTAATAGAAAAAAAAATCCTGGGTGAAAGTCCTGCAATGAATGTTGGAGTTTGTTGGCTTCTAGATCACAATCTACTTTCAGGTGAGTGACTATCAACATATTTAAGGTTTGTATGAAGTAACCTGATACAAATTTGCCCAAACAGCATAGAATGTCAGCTTCCAGCAAAAGCTTCTCACAAAAGCCTTCAGCTTGATGACAGATTCCCTTTACTCAAGTCACCCATTAGCTTGATTCATTGAAAGCAAAAAGGTGAGCAGTTCTCCAATTGGACACTAGAGGGAGCTAAGTAATTGTAATTTCATTTGATTTAGTAATATGAAAATGAACATTTGAAATTCTTTTTTTTTTTAACACTCCTTAGAACCTGCTGATTTTACAAATATATGGCAGCAATGCCTCAGCAAATTATAAGCAATAATGAATTAGTTAATTTTCTTTAGTGAAAAGTGCTAGGCTAAGACTATTAAATTATTATATATCCACTTAATGGAAAAATTTACTCATCGGTAAATCGGGTTTTTAGAGCTCATTTGGGAAATAAATTAGGGTTGGACTTGTTTACCAATTTTTCCTTTAAAGTAACAGAATAAGATTAACTTTTCCAGATGAAATTATGCTTGGGTCACATAAATATTTCATGAAAGCGCAGGTTCCAGGCTGCAGACAAACATAACTCAGCATTGTTTTCTAAACTTTCAGGTATAAATGTTTTTGGCTGTGAATGTTCACGGGGTCTGATAGCTTGTGCTGTGCCATGAGCTTCATTCAAAAGCTGCCTGAATAGAGCTCATGCAGAACCTCATAGAGCCTTAAAAAAGTTCACATTTCCCACAACAGCCAATTAGATTCCAGCAATTATTGAAGACCCCTGACTTGAATGTTTTGGATGTCACAGACACTTCTCTAAAAGGAGTTGTGAACCCAATCACTCAAATTCTCATATACAAATTAACATGCTAATATATAAGTTCGATAGTCACTTTAACCACTTCATGTCCACCCCCTTCCAGCCCAGGCCAATATTCAGCTTTCAGTGCTATCACACTTTGAATGACAATTGCGCGGTCATGCAACACTGTACCCATATTAATTTTTTAGCATTTTTTGAGACAGATAAAAATATATTTTGGAGGTATTTATTCACCACTGAGATTTAATTTTTTTGCTATATAAATGAAAAAAGTCCAAAAATTAAAAAAAGGGTTCTTCTTATAAAATTTTGCAAATAAATAATCTTCCTTTATACATCTTGGCCAAAATGTATTCATCTATCTTTTTAGTAAAAAAAAAAAAAAAAAAAAATAACCCAAATTAGTTTATAACCAAAAATTATAATTTTTCAAAAAATGTTTAAAATTTTTATTTTATTTTTTTTATATTATTATTTATGTTTTTTTAACATACTATCACCTTAGCAGTACAGTGTCACCATGGTGACACTGTACTATTTGTGGGGGGTGATGAAGATTTTTTTTTTCTTTTTTTACACTGATTGCTTTTACACCCATAAAGGCTGTAAAAGCAATTGTTTCTCCTCCTCTCTACATTCTAGTAGTAATTGAGAAATACTGTGAGAGCTGTGATTGGTCACAGCTTGTCACATGGTACAAGGCTGTTGTGAATAGCCTTGTACCATGTGACCTCTGTGATCATTCACAGATTTCACACGTAGTAAGCAATAATGTCAGAAGTGATATCTTGTTTACTACTATTCATGTGATCACTGAATGGCCAATCAGTGATCACATGAATCGGGACCTCACACAGAGGTCCCATCCTCTGGACACAGTGGGCACCGATTGCGGTGCCGCCCGCTCCCAGGGAGCACACACAGGCAATGGATGTGGGGGGACATTTAGAAACATCCACCTGCTTCGGCAGCGCTCCCGTCTGGCCATTTATCTACATGGGCTGGGCAGGAAGTGGTTAGAGGGTGGATGAATCTGATTGGGTTTGGTTCACAAAAAGTTTTGTAAATCTTGCTCGAAGTTTTTAAACTTTGTGGCGAACTCCATTGAAGTCTATTGAGCGGGGGGATTGAGGAGCGGCAATTTTAAAGTGGTTCTAAGGGTAAATGGTTCTCTATGTAGCACACCCCCAGACCTCCTCTTATACTTACCTAAGCCTGATCTCGATTCAGCACTGTGCAGGAGAGCAGCGCTCTCTCCTCTCTCTCCTCACTGGATAGAGAGGCAGCTGCAGAACCCATTGGATCCTGCTACTGTCAATAACAATCAGTGAGGAAGAGGTGGGGTGGGGCCGAGCTACACTCTGTGTGTTACTGGACTCACATAGTGCGGCTTTTGAGCGAGCCTGCAAGAGTGCTCCCAAGCGCATATAGCAAGCACGGTGTGTTTTTGGCCACCAAACCGCATGGTACTGTAGTACCATGCAGTTTGGTGTAGCAAGTTTTTAAAAGTTACACCACAGCTTACGTTTTGCATATTCCCAAGCATTTGGCAGCCCACTGAAATGAATAAACTGTCAAAAACAGAATGTGTGTTGTTCCTGTGTGAACCAGCACTAAAGGTCAATAATGACAGCTCACTTCCAACATGGAATCCCCTATGGGGAAGTTCACATTGCATTTTTATCAACAACAAAAACAGAAGCTGCCAGTGAAATGTCATTTACTGGCAAGTTAAAAAATTTTTTTCTTTGTAATTTGTTACTTTTGCTGTAGTACATCCTACGGCTGGGCATGTGGGTTCCTCCAAATCAATACCACACCTTTCGGATCTTTTATGGATTTTAAGGGTGAGCCCCACAAAAAAATGGAAAAAAAAACCCACAGGTGCCCTCCAAAAGCCATATCAGACCCCTTGAATCAATATTATTTCCTAAGTGTGACTCTGTGGTCCCTATTTTTATATTGTCGTCATCTCTGTATAGTGGCCATAATGGGGTTAATTCCATAAATACCTCAATCAGGCCACTAGATGAAGCTGATGATCATAGTAAATAAACATGTTAGGGGAATATTGGGGATTATTATTGAAAGCTGTGGAATGCTTGAGATATTTGCATAAGAAATTTTGTATGAATAGACTCTATACTGACAATATGGCTACTGTAAGCCCATCCTTTTATAGTGAGGGCCGTGGTTATCAACTTCTTCAGATGAATGCCTTTTGTGACTCAGCTGAATAAAAGCATAGATGTCGACAGTCCCAAAATGGCTAATTTGCCCAGACAGTCTTGCATCTAGGTGCGCTGTGCTGATGAAGCTGTGTCCCAGGCTGCAACCTGAGATCATAGAATCACCCTTCTTTGAGTTACTGAGCATGCTTAGTAACTCAAAAAAGGTAATACTGAGCAGATTGTGGCCAAGCAGAGGTGGTTGCCTCATAATTGGGGTCAAAACTGGCCAAAAAGTAGCTATAATCTGAGCAGGACCACCCAAAATGTGGAAGAACAACATGATATTGGTAGGACTTGGGTGGTGGCGATAGGCTATGCTGTATTAGAAGTGTAACATACCCCCTAAAGAGCCGCTGGTGAGTCTATGAGTCCTATTTCCCCTGTAGAGCACTCACAGCCAGCACACAGACAGGCTTAAATAACAGTCTAGGGGTTTATTTTAAATTTTTTTTTAGGGAATGATGAACTTGGATAGGGATAGGGAACATACCCTGGAACTGTAAAACTGTAAAACCTGAGGTCTGCTCCACTTCTGGCTGCACTGCCCAAACTACTGTCTGCTCTGCACTACTTCTGGCCGTACTGCACAACTTCTGGCTGATGGTGACCTCTACTCCTTCCTGAGCTTAAAGTTGCACACGATCACACCTCTTCAACACTGGGGTCATGTACTTACCCAGCCACAGGATCATCAGCTGCCTTCTGCCGATATCCAAAGGCTCTTCCTACTGAAAGAGATATAGACTCACACCACTAAAGGACAGCTTGCCCCCCCCAACTCTCTCCTGGCTCTCTTCCATGAGTTTCTCCTGATCCAACTTCATCCTTGGATCTGGACTTGCAATTAGGCCCCTGAGCTAAGTCTAGCTGGGATCTCGGTGTCTTCTGGCTGTCTTCCTCCCAGACTTCTGTCCCAGGGGGCCGAACCCCTGAACAGAGCTTTTCTCCTGCAGAACTGGACTCAGGAACTCTGCATTGGCCTCAGACTATTTATAAGCACTTTCACCACCTACTGGATGTGCCTCCCAAGGGCTTGGCTGGAATTCCATAAATATTCAAGCTACAGACTCTGGTCTTCCCCCCCACTATGTTCTAGAATTCTCTAGAAGACAGGGAAGTAACGGAACAGCAGCCAGTGAAACACTGAGCAGCCTTAAACAATCTACCCCTGCTCCTCTGACCACAAGGGAGCTAACTAAATTTGCCTAGCAGCCTACTCTAAGCTGGTAAGGTGCTACAGTGCATAGTTTAATCCTTATTTCTGGTGAACCTGCAAAGTTTTTGCTAAAAATCTCCATTTGTGTAGTCAATCCTTTTGAATCTGCATTTATTAAACTAATATCTGAGGATCCTTCAGATGCAAAGGATAAAAAAAGAAAACTCAAGCATGTTTGAAAAGGCAATTGTTTATGATATAAGTCGTTTTGGTGATTAAAATGTCATTAAGTTAGGGTTTAAATCTACTTTAACACAAAAGGTCTTTTTCCAGTGACCATCACAACCATTGCTATTCTCCAGAGGAAGAATGCCGATGAATATCATCATCTGACAGCACTGTGATCTTTGGTTCATTTCTCACCAGTAGCAATATGTGCATGAAGTTTGTGCAATGTATGCATGGCGTTTGAATATCTTGTGCTATCGTTTCCCAAGCTTTCTAAGTCTAGTTTCACGCCTATGCGGGTTGTGTTTGAGCCATTTCTGCATTGCGTTTTTGCACTTGCATTTTTTACATGTTTTTGTCGCGTTTTTGATGAGTTTCGCTTTTTTTTTTTTTTTTTTTTTCCATTTTTTTTTTCTTGTTGCTAGGCAGATTTAAAAGGCAAAATGTATCAAAAACGCAATACATACTTTTATGCAGTGTTTCCATTGAAATCTATAGAAACAAAAATGCAACTTTTTGCATTCAAAAAAGTCCCTTCCAAAAAACGCACCGGGTGAAACCGCACAGGTGTGAACATGTCCCATAGGAAATAATGTTAAATGGACTGCACTGCGTTTCTGCAAATCGTGAACCTAGGGTGAAATCATAGGACATTTACTGACTTATGACCAGACTGACCATAGTGAGAGACATTACAAAGTAGACTCCTCTAGGAGAGGGGTGGGCAACTATGGCTCTCCAGCTGTTGGTGAACTACAAGTCCCATCAAGCCTCTGCCTTTGGGAGTCATGCTTGTAACTGTCAGTTTTGCAATGCCTCATGGGACTTGTAGTTCTACAACAGCTGGAGGGCCACAGTTGCCCACCCCAGCTGTAGGGGAAGCTGGTGATGTGAATTCTCTACCAAAGCCAAAATTTTGGCTCTATATTTTTAAAATACAGTAAGGCAACTGATTGCTGAAATGCTGGTTCTGCTGCTGAAGAAAGCAGTGACCTCCAGTGGTTAACAGAGAATCTTGCAATTTTTCCATATTTTCTGAATCGCTGACCCTGAACAATTGTGCTGATTGCCAGTTCCAAATCTGGACTATGGAGGCTGCTACTGAAGCCCTCCTTCTGAAAAGGCTAACTCCCTGGCTGTCTCTGACATCAGTAGCTTTAAGTCACTGATTTGGAACAAATAGGCAGAAAAGTCAGAAAAAAGTCAGAAGTCCTAATCTGCATACTTCAAACATGCAGGCCAACCAATCACAGTATTGATGCAGAAGGGTTAGCATGACTCCCAAGAAACTAGCATGTTCAGAGGTTGCAAGAATGCAGAGAATGACTTCTGCCTTTTCTCTGACTTTCCTGATCTGAATGCTTATTCCAGGTCAAAGATTCAGAAACTACTGATGCCAGTGAGTCAGCGGGAAAAAATAAACAGCCTATTTAAAGGAAAAGTATAGCAAAGCTTTTTTGGCTATACTTCTCCCAGGGATTACAGACGTACACTTTGTTCTGCACTGGTGTGACCTGTTTTTAGCTGACAGCTGGTCCAGGCTCTGGAAAGATTCTGACTTTAAAGTTGGTATCCATTCAGATGTCTGGACGACCAGGAGCTGGCTCAGCCTCTTATTGAACCACTGAGATCCTGAGCCAGCCGCTTCCACCCCCTCCACAGCCCAGCACTCCAGTGAGCACTGGAAAGACAGAGAGAGTCAATGGCTTTCTGCGGGCTGAAGACCGAGAACTGAGCGATCAGCAGTCTTTGATTGCACAGTTCTCAGTCTCAGTCTTGGAAGCAGTGGGAGACAGATGCAGCATTTCAGCATCCACCAAGGTGAGTATGTGTGTTTGTTTTTCAAGCCATACTTTTAAGTGATCCTTGCATGGGCCAAGTCTTCTGGATAAAGTTAAAGCCTAACTTCATGTTTACCTTCACTTTAAATTGAGTCAGGCTACGTGCTGCTCATCCATTCACAGAAAGCCTTGTATTTTAGCAGTGAATACAAGGCTGCCTCTGATTTGCTGCGGTGAAGATCATGGCATTATCCACTCACCTCTCCTTCTGGCACAAACCATGCCTATCCCCAGCAAGGAGAGCATTTGCCAGCTTTGTTCCATCTGGTTATGTCTTTGCGGTGTGCTTCTGCCTAGGAGCCACAGCATTCACTACTCAAAAGTCTGTTTAATTAACCCTTTTCTGTACAATGTATTGTCTTAATAAAGCTCATTTAACGTTGTTGGTGTTTCAGTGTATTGTCTGGTCCAGTTCCAGGGCT